CCCGCCTGCCCAGGGACCCCCTTCCTGGGCCCCCTTTGCCACCACCCTGCCTTCCCAGGGCTCCCCTCTTCCTGGGCCTTCTTTGCCGTCCCACGGGCCTTCTCCCTTCCCAGACCCATGTCCCCCATCCCAGGCTCAAGTCTCCTGATGCTCACTGTCTGCTTTCCAGCCCAGAATGCCCCCCTCCAGACCCTCCCTTTCTGGCCCAGAGCGCCCCTCAGATTGAAATCAATCCCTCGGGGAACAGAGGCTGTAAAAGGGTGGTTTGGGTTTGTGCCTTCTCAGAAGATTCACGGGCCTTCTCCCTTCCCAGACCCATGTCCCCCATCCCAGGCTCAAGTCTCCTGATGCTCACTGTCTGCTTTCCAGCCCAGAATGCCCCCCTCCAGACCCTCCCTTTCTGGCCCAGAGCGCCCCTCAGATTGAAATCAATCCCTCGGGGAACAGAGGCTGTAAAAGGGTGGTTTGGGTTTGTGCCTTCTCAGAAGATTGAGGTACTGCTTGAGTTTGCTGGCAGGTGTGAGTTTTAGGCAGCTGATGACCTCTGCCACTGTGCTTCTCACCCTGTGACTCCTTGAAGATGAAACTCACCCACCTCCTGGCACTCAAGAGACATAAAATAACATGTTAAGGGGTGATTAGGGCACTGACCACCGAGTCAAGTACAGCCTTATCATTCTGGAATCTAACGGTACCATTTTAATGGTAGTTGGAGCTTTTTTGCAGTTCAGCAAGGCTACTTGTGTTATGAGCCACTATAATATTCATTAATATTAAATCTACCCACCCATAACCAGATTTGTAATTTTGCCACTTTTTTGACTAGTTACATTATATATTATTTAAATTAATACTTGCACCAATGTTCTTTTCAGACTATTAATATAAACATTTTGATGACACATTTTAAAAATGCTTATTAAAAGCCCTGCTAAAACTAGTTATAACCAAAATGGAGCCACAATATAATTTTGGATCATGTCTTTAGTACTGTCAAGGGGCTGGGGGTTGGTTTTTTTTAGCCTTTTTTTTAACACTAACAACTTTAATTTTCTGTATTTCTCCACACTTAAATACAAATTAGGCTTTGGTTAAAGTTAGCTTAACGTATTTTATAGGCTGCAGTGGTCTCACCCTCCATTGCTGAAAGGGTCTTTTGTGTTGTGTAGAACTGCCATCTCTCCAAACTATGCTATTCTTCCATCAACAGCTCACAGCCTTCCCCCCTTCCCGGAATCATGCCCTCCAATTTCTGGAGGGTCTGCTGACACTCACTGTCCATTTTCCAGCCCAGAAAGCCCCCTCTTCAGACCCTCCTTCCTAGCCCAGAGTCCCCCTCAGACTGAGATCAGGGGGACAGAGGCTGCAGTTGCATCGGCAGTGGGGGTTAGTTTAGTACAACATGGCTGTTAGTGAGGTGAGTGGCTTTTTCACTCCATGCCTGATGCAGCTATTTTGATTGAACTTTAAGTGTATCCCAAGCACCCTGGGGAGAGGTGGAAACTAGATTTGGCATCAAGATATAGGCATTCCCTTGTCCCACAGTGTTTGGACTTAGAGAGAGAGAGATTGTGTCCCCCCTAGTAACAATGAAGTTCCCAAAGACTCTTTTTCCACAGAGATCCCAAAGTAGATCAGAACTATATAAGAAGCCAAGACTCACCCCTCAGTGCCACTGAGATTCTCATCCTTGCATACATACATGCATGCTTTTGAGGAAGCAAGCTAATTCTCCTGGCCAGAGAGAGATTGTCATTCCTGCATTGTAAACCCAGGGTTAGTAGAACTCAAGTTCTACTGACACATGTTCTCTGGGCCAAGACCCTCTGCAAGAAATGCTTAAAAAAATCCCCAAACCCCAAAAGCCACAACTTCATAGGGACTTCCAAAAATGGGGACTGATGTATTCATCAGAGGTAGATTCCTGAGATCTACCAGCATGTACTACTTAGTTTGATTGTGCCCATCAACTTCAGATCCAGTTCTGGTAAAACTCTTTGCAGTTAGCTGTGGACATTGTATTAGTGTCCTTCTGGGAAAAGGGCCTGCCTGTGCCTTAAAAGACTGTTGTATTGTTTGCAGTTCACTGTGCCATGTGGTAGAACCTGGCCTAATAGACTTTTTCTGCTTCTCAGTCAGGTCGGGACCTGCAGCAGTACCAGAGCCAAGCTAAACAGCTTTTCCGGAAATTGAATGAACAGTCACCTACCAGATGCACCCTAGAAGCAGGATCAATGGCTTTCCAGTAAGTATAAAGTGCTGTAGAGGTGGAAAGTGTCAGCATCCCAACTTACGTTTTTAGAAAACCAAAAGGTACTTCCAGAAGACATTAGAGGTTCAGTAGAATTTGGGCCATGAGAGATGAGTAAGAGTCAGTAATGTATCCTACCAGCCCATGGGAAACCTGTGCTCAAAGGAGAGTGTGTTATCTCCTTTTATATATTTTTTTTAATTTCTGTTCTTCTCTAGCATTATTAAACTTCACACGTTCCTGTCAAATTCTTGCATTCCCCCATTATTTGTTCTGTAGACTACATGTTTTCGCTTTCCCTTAAGTTTTCTCTACAGGTTGTATCTGCTATTCATTCTGGCACCTAATGTTCTGTAGATTCTCTGAGGCTAAAGTGAGAAGTTGCACCTATACTCTAGGGGTGTGTCTAGACTACGGGTTTTGTCGACAAAAGTGGATTTTTGTCGACAAAACTAAACCTGCGTCTACACTACCACTGAGTTCTGTCGACATAACGTCGACAGAACTCAGCAGTTTTGTCGACGCTGGTAAACCTCATTTTACGAGGAATAACGCCTTTTGTCGACAGAAGGCATTATTGCATCTAAACTGTCCTTTGCGTCTACACTGCCATGTCGACAAAGCAGCTTGCTTTGTCGACAGAACTGAATGTAGTCTAGACGCTCTTTGTCAACAGTATCTGTCGACAAAAGCCTGTAGTCTAGACGTACCCTAGGTTAGCATTACCACACCTGGTTCAGCCTATATAAGACTCTCTTCGCTCTACTAGAGCATTTCCTTTCATGTACCAGCCCTCTACTGCAAACTCATTGAATTGTTGTCTGTTATTTCCCTGAAACTTTTCAGCATTTCTGCTCTCCAGTAGGGTTGTAAAGTCTGGTTTAATCAGTTAACCGGTTAAACATGTCTGCCCAGCCAGAGCAGTCCCTGTCTACCTCAGGCCAAGACAAGCATGCTGCAGGTAGCTGCACTCCAAAGTGGGTGGGCTGAAGCACACCCTCCCCCGCTCCGCCTGCCCCCATTTAAGTGGTTAACCAGTTAAACATAACCAATTAACTATTTACATCCCTACTCTCCAGCAAGCATCGTCCATATTTTTATATCGTCTAGTATTAATATTCCAAAGTATCTTAGTTGTGTTCAGCTCATCTCTTTTGAGTTTGCTGTCTTACTAAAATCTTCTATAATGTTTGCCCTTTGCTTCCCTCGTAGACCCTTCTAAGATAGGACCAACTGTAAAGCTTACTGATGTCTTAGCAGACTTGCTCAGAATAAGCAGCAAGATAGCAAACTCTGCTGGTGGGATATCACATACATTAGGAAAGACCTGAGAGGACTGATGCAGTTTAGAGAGTCCTGACCAAGCTAAGCAGCACAGTGGCAGATGACATGAAATTGTTGACATGTCCAAAGCTATGTGGATTGAAAGGAATAATTTTAACTCCTGCACCACGCAGGTTGTAAACTAAAGATTCAAAACATTATAAGAGGGGACGTGAAATTGATGCAAAGTATAAAGACATGGCTAGTTACTTTCTCGCCTAACACTAAACCAAGGGGATAATTAAATAAAAGGTGCCAAAGTCAAAATTGCTAAAGGAAATTGTTTTCAATGCGGTTAATTTCCATATGATCTCATTGAGGGCAAGATAGTAGCAAGACTAAATCATAGTACAGCTGAAACTATTGAAAACTACTATATGAATAGCCTAAACGAACACTGAAAACTACTATATGAATAATCTGAAAACGTTTGAAAAAATGTGGCTGTTGCTGAGTCTGAAAACCCAGGTTTGAAGAAATTTCTTCAGTCATTTTAAATGTCGATTACAGTGAGCCTTATGAGCAACTCAGTTTGAGCATGTGAGTATGCATGCTGATACATACACAGGCAATAAGTGCCTTCGTAGCCTGCTGTGAAATTAGTCATGAGCTGACCTTTGGCTGATTAGGGTCTTAAATCTTTATGTGCACAGATTACTAGCTTCCTTGAGAACCAACCCTTGGCCTTTGCCAGATGGTGCCTGTTAAAGAAGTGATTTTTTTCTTCTTTCTTAAAGTAAATATAAGGATTTGAATTCCGAAAGCGTGCACATTAACACTGCATAGATAAACGATCAGAAATCTAGAATTCAAAAGGTTGAAGGTAGCCAGCTGTGTCTTTGACCCTTTACATATACTAATAGCAAAGAGACCTAGTTGCATGATTTCTACTGTGTTAAATGTCATGCCAAAAAGTGTTAATGTGTGTTAAAAGATGAAAAAAACAAGTAATTATATAAAAAAATCCTATTCAAGTTAATCTGGGGTTGGCAGTTCTAAATCCATGTGCTGTCTCTGCTGAGATAGAAGACTAGGAATCTAAAACAGCTACTATAAAGGGAGTAAGAACAGATCTGGGAAGAATGGGGACCAAGGCGGGAGAGCTCAGATCAAAACTACATAATGGTGTATCTGTGCACATGGTCGGAGATCGTGCTAAGAGAAGATACTGTGCTCTTCTTATACTTGCCTTTAACTTGCTGTTATGTGTCTCACGTGAGATTTTTCCCTATCTTAAAAAGGTTTGTGTTGAAAGAGGTTTTCTTCTTTTACTCTTTGAACCCTGAAATGTTATAGATTGCCCAAGCGCTTGCTAATGATTGGTGGTATGCTGGAAGGGATCCAGTACATGTATTGGATTACTAGTCAGACCAGAACACTGAAGACAGGGATCAGAAATGATGGTTTGCCTCATACTGTTTGGAACATACTGTAGAAACAGAGTCCTGGGCTGTGAGGTATATGGTAGGGAATTCCTTAGGGAAATCAAGAAGCAAATCTGTGAGTATTTTCTGTTCCTTGGTGGACAGTGGTGACTACACTCTTATTCGAGGTGATGTCCATTGTTGTTGGAGGCTTTTTTCAAAAGCTAGTAAGTGCCAGGTGGAGATTGCATCACAAATGGATAATCCTTGCCTTTGTGTCCAATAACTAATTATTGAATATGGCAAATTTGAACAATTTACACGTCTGGGGCTCTAGAGGCTAAGAGGAGAAAAATGAGATCTGTCTGCTTGGAGCTGCCGTGAGGATGTACATGTGGCTACCACTTTTACTAGGCTATTGTATGATTTCAAACTTTGATTCCACACAGTGGCCTAGTGTTTGAAAAAAGAATTGGTCAGTTATGACAGTGTGCACATTAATGGTGTCCTAAATCTCTACACACAGGTGTTGATAGGAAAAGAAGGGTAATTTACAGGTTACATTTACCATTATATTTATGGTAGTGCAGATGCGTGATGGAAGTTTTGAACCCATAGGAAACCGCGATCTAGGAGAGGTTCTTTCAAAAAGAAAAGCTTTTTTGAAACATCCTGTAAACCTAATTTTTTGAGAGGTACAGGATCTTTCGAAAAAGACTTTTCTTTTCTTAAAAAACCGTGTCTAGACCACGGTTTAACTTTTGAAATAGCGTTTTTTGAAAAAAAACCGCCGTGACGCAATTATGCAAATGAAGCGTGGGAAATTCAAATCCTGACTTCATTTGCAATTTCGATATATCTAATTAGCATCCCTCTTTCGAAAGAAGGATGTAGTCTAGACATAGCTGAAAGAGAAACTAAGGCATTCAGAAGGGTTTGAAATGAAGCCTAATGTTTAGACGTGGAAGTGCAGTCATGAGACTTGCAGTAGCGTAACTGTGTCCTCACATGTGCGCTGAGAACCTGACCCTTACACTCCAGCATCCATCCCAAGCAAACTGTCCCCTTAGCAAGGAATGCTAAATGTAGTCTGTACCCACAAACTGAGGTGAGTTGGACTCGTCACAGAACCAAAGGAAAAAGCTTTACGATGTCCTGGTGAGACGAGCTTGCAGAAAGGAGTCATTCGCCACTCCTCACTGAGGACCCCAATCTGCCAGGCATGGGGCGCTCTCGTCACCTTGCAGGGTTGTGCCCTGGGAGGCTGTTGTACAGCCAGTCATCAAGCAGGTTGTCGCATGTAAAGTCCTCCTAGTTGGGTGGGTAGAATGAGATTATGGGACTTGCACAGGAAGGGAAATGGTTAGTAGAGTGACAACATATCCCAATATTGGAGACGTGTCTGAAACCATCTGTGCTGTGTGATGCCTGATACACTTTTGTGTGGGCTGTAGTAATAAACTGAAAGACGGAGGCACTCCGCCACAGAGAAGGGAAGAGGGAAAAGTGGTGTCCTGCGGGGCAAGGTTAACATGTGTCCTGTTTGATCTCTTCTAGCTACGTTATTGAGAAAGGGGTATGTTACCTGGTGTTGTGCGAAGCCAACTTCCCCAAGAAGCTGGCCTTTGCCTACCTGGAGGATTTGTATTCTGAGTTCGACGAACAGCATGGAAAGAAGGTGCCGACGGTCTCCAGGCCCTATTCCTTCATTGAGTTCGGTGAGGTCCTTCCCCTTGAGACTAATTAATAAGCATCCTGTTTGTTTGGCCACATTAGCCTCTCCCAGCTCAGACCTTGGAACTTACCACTGGCAGTGGAGAAATCTGGTGTTCTCTGTGAGCCAGGACTGCCAGGTATGTGAATGGAGCAATGGCAGGGAAAACGGCAAATTTCCTATAATCCAACTTTCTGCTTTTGAGTGTTGGCTTTTTTCTTGTTAGCATTCGTGTGCTCTTGCTCTCTCTTCCTGCAGTGCTCTGCCACTGAGGTGGCCCGCACACCGGTAGTCGTGCTCTGTGGGCAGCCCTATGATTCCTCTAGGCAGCGGTTCTCCCTTGATTGCATTTTAAAGGGGAGAAGCAAAGCAGCAAACTTCCTCTCACTTGAGGGTCACGCAAAGCATGGCAGAGCTTCCAAACCAGCTCTCTGCTGTACTGTTACAGCAGCATTGGAGAGATGTGGGATGCGAATGTGAAGCCACTCGGGAAGCATCGGGGAAACCTCTGGGCTAATTGGCTTCGGATGTACATGTCGTCTTCTGGGTGGCTTGTTCTTCTAAGCCCAAAGGGCTCCAGTCCTGTCTGCTGCTTTGTCCCTGGTGAAGGCATGCAGGATGCGACCTGCTCTAAAACGTGTCGTCCTTGTGTCCGTCTGGGGAGGACGGGGCTGTCCTGCTCCCCCTGGGATATGCAGTCTGGAGGTTTGGGTGGTTGGGATCTCATCAGAGTAGGGCAGTGAGTGTTGTGGTGAGTGCAGTTGTGGAGGGAAAGTGGGGAAGGCTGACTCAGGGATGTTCTCTGCATGGCCAGCAGGAAGTGCTGGGAGGAAAAGATTTTCATGTTAACAACCACCTTTTGTTCCAGACACTTACATCCAGAAGACCAAAAAGCTCTACATTGACAGCCGGGCAAGAAGGAACCTGGGCTCCATCAATACAGAGTTACAGGATGTGCAGCGAATCATGGTGGCCAACATTGAAGAAGTCTTACAACGCGGAGAGGCGCTCTCAGGTACAGGGAGTTGAGCCTTTGAAATGCCTTCCCCGCGCTGAGGCTGGTGGGCAGGAGGCGCTGAGGGATGGACTCTGAGGCATCGTGGCAAAGGGGGCTTCCTGAGTATTGCTTTGTAGCGTATGTGTCCAGCTGAGTGTGCATTTTAATTTCTGATCTACATCATAAACCACCTGGCCATTTCTAATCTTCCCTGGAGGAGCCAGGGCCCCCCATGGGCGCGGGGCTGTTCTCGCCCCACAGAGATAAATGGTAGCGATGTGACTCCCGGACAGGAGTGAGGTGTTGAGTTGACATGGTGCTGGGGAGCCTCCCGCTGCTGCAGCTACTGTTGTTCCCTTCTGTGTAACGCCCCAGACATAGTCAATGCAGTTAAACCTAGTGAGCTTACCAAAGGAATCCTTTGGAATAGTAGGAGTTTGGGGCTCGGGGGGCGCAGTAAATCAGATACAGCTCCAAGACAGCAGCTGCGGTTATCTACCAACACAACACTGTGGGAGTGTCTTGGTGGTATTAATCATGCAACTAATCTGCTTCCACTTTCTCTTCAACAGCTTTGGACTCCAAGGCCAACAACTTGTCCAGTCTGTCCAAGAAGTACCGTCAGGATGCAAAGTACCTTAACATGCGTTCCACCTATGCCAAACTGGCAGCTGTGGCTGTTTTTTTTATCATGTTAATAGTCTATGTGAGATTCTGGTGGCTGTGAGGTGCTGGCAGTCACCGGAGAGGGAGCACTTGTAGCATGGCAGGGGTATGCGTGTAGCACACTTTGTTCCCAGGGATGTGCATTAGAATCCATCCAGGGCTGTCCCCCGTAAGGGTGTGTCCTGAAAATGACCCTAAGTACCACACCCCTTAGCAAATCTGAATTGTAGGCATAGAGTTTGGGTGGGCACGAGGCTCCTCCTCTAGGCACTGGACTCAGCTCCCACAGTACTAAGCTCATAACGGTGCTGTTGGGTGTCTCCTGGAGCAGTTGATCTGACATTTATCCTAACCAGGGGCTGCTGGCAGCAGTCACCTCTTCCTCCCTTTCAGAGAGTAGCGCTAGTGAGAAATGGAATCTAATGGACATTCCTTGTGTCAGCAATGTTTGCTTTCTCCAATCTGAGTCTGCTTTTGCTTTTTAAAACAAGACTCCCTTGTTTGAAGGCTGATTCTGCCCTGTATATATTGTAATGGCTTTCACCCTTGTCGAACTAGCTGTTGTTGGGTTTACGTTGTCTGACATCTTTGCTTGTTAAATTTTCAGTTGCTTTAGGAATAAATGGATATTAAATTATGCCTTAAAATTACATTATCTTGAGTCTTAGACAGTGAAAGACTACTGTCACGGACTCCTACAAAATTAAACGCCTAGTTTGTAAATCTCACTTTCCTGCCAGTTGTGTGTAAGAGTTTGTTTTAACATGTCTCAGAACAGTCTTTTGGTGTAATTAAAAAGGTATTGGCCCAGGCGTAATGCAAGTAGTTTAATCTGTTTTCCTGACACCAGTCTATTTCCAGAATCGTTGCATTATTTCTTTCCCCTCTGTATTCCTCAAACAAGTGTATCCCTACCACTCGCGTTCCAGCACTTGCTAACTATCCTACAAGAACAGTCCAGCATGTGTGATGGTGCAGAAAATAGAACATTTCTTCAAGAAAACGTTTGTTTCATGTTTCTGTGAAGTTGGTGATAAAGAATAGTATTGAGTTTTAAAAACCAAGCTCTTGTGTCAATGTCGTGTTCTACCTAGTGTCACTGCTCTCCACTTCTTGTGGCAAAGTCAAACTGTAGCTGAAGCGAGATTCATATTGTGGGGCTATAGCGTTTAATTTCCAGTTTCTCACTGGCCAATAGAAACAGCTCCATTGTGATGCAACTTTTGCAGTTGAATTTTTGGTCCAAGTGCTAGAAACTTTCTTTCCTGTTCGGGATCAGTTTTGTAAATCAGATCTCTGTAAAGGCGCCCCCTGCACCTCTCCACAGTAAGGTGTCTGTTTCTGTCCTTACCTAGGAAGTGAACTCTCAGAGAACAGACATAACAGAAGGACAGATTCAAATTCCTCTGCATCTCCAGAGAACACTTAGTCTGCTGCGCCTCTGACAGTGTGAGATGTGGTCACAGAGTGTCTCCGGCAGTAAGGTAGGGGGGCTGGAGTGACAAGCAGCCCGAGCGACTCCCCTCTCTTCCTGTGGGCAGGCAAGTAGGCAGCTACAGTTTGTCTGCTGGTCTACTTGAAACCAGCCCCGGGTCACCGTGAAATAAACACTTGCAAATGGTCATGTCCTTTAGTGTGGAGTTTTCTGTCTGCATGCACGTTATTTTCAGAAGAGACCCTCTCCCGCCTTCTCACAGTCCAGTTTGTCCTGGGGTGGAACTGCGCAGAGGCACCTTCACGAATGCTGTTAAGGAAGTAGGCTTGTGGCTGGGATAGAGCATGCCCTTTATCTAGGGCTGGGCCCCATTTTTCACCTGCAGGAAGGATAGAGTTTGCCAAATGCCATTGTCTTTTTTCTAGCCCCTAGCAGGTGTGTTTCTAATGTTACAGGTGGGCCCCCGAGGCTTGCCTGTGTGATCAGAAACCCACGCGGAGTGTAGCACCCTCAGCGGTTCATGTAGCAGTTTTCAGCTTAGCCAGGTCTCAGCCCAGAAATGTTGTCTTAATTAACACAGCAAGCTGAATCAGTGCCCTGCGCTTTCCATGGCTTTGAATGTGCTGGAGAATGCAGCCTTTGCGATGGAACTGAACTAGGAATTTTTTGTTTTAAAAATATTGTTCTTCGCCCTTTGCAAGGTGCAGAAGACCTTAAAAACAGGATGCAACCAGAGTACCCTTGTGGTGTGACAGTGCCTCGGGCCTGTGTCCTGTCTAGGTGTCATCAGTGCCAGATGTTGAGGAGGAAGTTACAGGAAACCCTAAAGTTGACAGTTGTAGAATAATCTGCAGCCACACTGCGGAGGGTTTCACCTTCCCCCAGCAGTTGTCAGTAAGTTTATGTTGTAAAGCCTCAGTAATTTTGTCCTGTCTAACTTTGTGATCCTGGTTAACTGAACTCTGTTCTCATTAAACATTCCCAGTTTTTTTTAATGCTAAGCTTTTAGACCTCACTATCCAGAGCTATACATTTCAAATTCTAATTGTGCATTGCTTTAAATTGGCTGCCTTTGACTTGATTATATGTCTTGTAAAATGGACTCCAGGTCCAACACTGCCCTGCCTGCAGTCGAAAACAGAGGCATTCTGGGAGTTGTAAGCCTCGCATCAAGGACAATGGGAGGATGAACAGTATGGAAGCAGGTCCCTTATCTCAGGGCAGGAGACAGCAAGGCGGTGGCAAAATCTGAGTCTCTAAGGAGGAAACTAGAAGGCCAGGAGCTTTGGCTCGCTCCAGTCAAAGGCTGGGAAGAGGCCTACACAGCAACCAGTCAGAGAGGGTCACTTGGCATCATTACAGAACCTTCAAGTAACCAGAACCTGGTATCAGGTTTTCCTGACATACCCTGAGGAGAGGGTGTAATCAGGGTACAGATCCAGAGATGGATACATCTCAGGCCTGGTTTGCACTTAAAATTTACTTTAATTTAGCTACAGTGCTCAGGAATCTGAAAATGTTGTGCCCGTTGTGATGTTAGGTCAACCTAACTGCCACTATAGATGCAGCTAAGTTGATGGTAGAATTCTCCCATTGATGTACCTACCCACCCACCCCCACCTCTGGTCAAAGTGGGTGGATTTATTACAGCAATAGACAAGAACAAGTTCTGTTGCTTTAGTATCTGTACTACAGCAGCATAGGTATTCTCATGGATGAAAGGAAAGTTATAGCCTGAGCAGAACAAAGCATGGCCAGATCAGATGCCTGTTTCATTAGCTTGGGCCAAAAGTGGAAGCTTGAGAACCCAGGGAGGGGAGAGAACCTGGAGAATGCTGGCAAGCTTAATCCAGCTTAGCAGTGAGGGAAATAGAAACAACAACCATTGTTCCCCAGGTAAGACATTTGTGTTCTGTGTTATGAGGGTGACTAGAAGACCTTCCCTCACTTTTCTATACCTGTATCCTAGCTCCTCCTCTTAGCTTATTCTCTTAGCTATCTAGCTGTGGTCTTTTTCTGGCATGGTCTGTGTCTCCAGGTATGTCTGCTCTGCAGTTAGACACCCACGGCTGGCCTGACTTCCGTTTGCACAGCTTGGACTAAGGGGCTATTTAATTGCACAGTAAACGGATCCACCCAAGGAATTTGCTCCTTTGGAAATACAGAATTGATAAGTTTTGTTTCGGCCGTATTCTGACCCTTTCTCTCTCCTCAGAGCTGGAGGATGTTCTGCTGTTTAGTGTAAGGAGGGAGGCCATCCTGCTTTGTGGATTTGATAAGAGACTCTAGCTCTTGAATTCCATCACCTCCCATGGACTGCAGTGTCAGCCAGAAGAGGAGACTTTAGCATCTCTCAGTGCAGAAAATACCATCGGTAGCAGGTCACACTTCCCTTGGTCAGTCTTAATGTCCGAAGATGATGTGTCAGTTGGCCACCATGTGTCATGGAGATGTTCTGGCCTGCCAGCTTCCTGTGACCCAAGCACAGTTAATTCAGAACATCAACAGCAGTAGGCTTATCCATTTACTAAAGGCCTGACCATGGTGAAGCCAGATAAAACGAATGAGTCCTTAGGGGAACCTATGACCCACTTCCTGGGACACGCAGAACATTTTGACACGTACATTAGTATCTGGCAAGTCACAGTGCCTCTCTTTACATGTGGCAAGTTTCAGATGCAGTCTTCCAGCCCAAACTGCTTCACTCCTGTCTGCACAGCCGAGCCCAGCTTTCTCTGGCAATGGGCGAGCCAGGTTGGAATTTTCTTTTCTAAACAGTGTTGTCTGATTTGGCTAGCTCAAGGATTGCACAAGGCCCTGCTGTAGCAAAGCCAGAGCGTGAGAGGCACATTTCTCAACGTGGAAGCTGCTGTGCAAGCTAAAGAAGGCCAGAATGAGTTCCTCACATCTCATTGAAAATCCTTTGTTCACCTCTTGCCTGAGGACTGTGCTGTTACAGCTTATTTAATGCCTGTTTTGCGCTGTCTGTTTGCATGATGCACAAAGCTGGGGGGTGGGAGAAATGTCCTGGCTGGATTCCAAGGCCGGAAGGGACCCTTGTGATCATCTCTTGTGTAACACAGGACACAAGACCTCCCCTAAACCTAGAGCGGATCTTTTGGAAAGCATCCAGTCTTGATTTTAAATTTGCCACTGATGGAGAATCCACTGAGACTCTTGGTAGGGATGTTAGCGAGTAGTCGACTACCGGATAAGCATAAGCTCATCAGGTAGCTGACAGGAGTATGGACTCTGCTCCCCTACGCCCCGCTGCCTCTGAGAGACAGCAAGCCAGGGGACAGGAGCTGGTGCTGGCGGGAGCCAGCTTAAAAGCTGGTTCCCCCCAGCACCATCTCCTTGGTGCTTCCCTGCCACCTCTGCTGCCTCTGTCCGAGGCAAGAGGGGGAGGGATTGGGGAGGCTGCTGTGAAACAGCCCCTGTTTGCGGTGGCCCGGGCTGTCCACTACAAACAGGAGCTCCTGGACTCGCCTGGCTAACACTCATCCAGGATGCTGCGCCTCTGCATCTTACAGGTAGTAAGAGCAGTCTTTATTGACTGATCGTGTTCAAATTGTATCGACTACACGAGTAGCCAGATAACCGCAATTTAACATCCTTAACTCTTGGCAAATGTTGAGTTATCCTCACTTGTGAAAAAGGTCTGCTGCATTTCCAGTAGAGGGCAGTGTTGTCACAGCACAGGACACGGACTGCTTTCACTTCACAGAATGGGAAGTCTTCTCCCATTCCTCTCTCTTGAGAAGAAAGTTACTCCTGGCCCGCTGTGTAGGTTGGAGGGGGCACAGTGAAGTAGCTGGTCATGCTTAATAAGGAACTCCTCTACTAGCTGAGAGGCGTCCATCCTTCATTCCATTTGGAAGTTTCATTTACCAGCATCCCGAGCTGTAGTTTCTTCTCCCCGTGTGGGTACTTAGACCATGATCAAATGGCCTCTTGTCTTTGATCTGCTTCTAAGAGGTGGCCGCAGATCTGAGTCTAGAGAGCCTAATGGTCTCACCACTGCCGGATGCAGAAGTGATATTGTGATGTTGCCCTGTTTGTACATCCCAGGATTTATATAACCCTTCTTGCCACAGCATTACCCTGAGGCCCCGATGACCTGTGTGCCCATTGTAACCCCTATATTCTTTTCCAAGTTGCTGCTTTCCAGGATGCAGTCCCTCGCCTCGGATGTGGCTGCTGTGCTCTTTGTTCGTGTGGGTTGGGAGGAGCTTACATGTGGGTGTTAAGATGCTGGTTATTTGACTGTGCCCAGTGTACCAGGTGATCAGCTACTTTCCCCCCTTATTTAGCACTCTACCAGTCTGTCAACACACAGGCTTTATCCACAGGACTCGGTTTTCTTCCAGATCATTGAAAAAAATTAAATATTGGACTAAACTAATTCTGACAGGTCCTCACTAGACGACATCCATATGTTTTCAGATCCGTTGATACGGAGCCTATATTCTTAGGGTCCCCCCCCCCAACACCTTGCAGTTACAGGAAACCCCTAAAATAGAGCTTGGCAGAAAAATAGTCCCTTTAGTGAGTCTCTTCCTGTGTTATCTCAGCATCACCTTTCCTGTCATGTGTTTTTCAGTCTGGTGCTTTTCTAATAGCAATACTGTAGCTATGCAGTGTGTTTGACGTGCATGAGCCTCATTTGCGGCTCCTTTCTCATTCATCAGCAAAAGGTGTTGCTCCCCAGCCATTTTACCAGTCTGGAGAGGGTGGTGTTCCCACTGGATTCTTCCTTGTCCGTTACTGAGATTCTGAACACCGTCTGAGCAGCATCAGTTTTTCTTTGTGCCAAGCCCAGTCAAGCCCCTCTGCCAGTGCCATTCTGTAGATGTGCCAGGCCATCTTGGCTGTGTTGACATTCCAGGAGTCCTGTATGACAGCATGCTCCACGACAGCGGCAGCAGCATTCTCCTGTGAATCCGTTCGCCCTCCTCTGCTGCTCCTAGTGTCCCCAGCCATGGCAGAAGCACCCTATCAGTGATAGCCCCTGCCCATCGCTTCCACTACCACCTCAAGAATCATAGAACCCTAGGGCTGGAAGAGACCTCAGGAGTCATCCAGTCCTGCCTAAAGCAGGACCAACCCTGACTCAATCATCCCAGCCAGGGCTTTGTCAAGCCAGGACTGAAAAACGTCTGGGGATGGAGACTCCACCAACTCCCTAG